TATTGACATTGTCTGGGTGAAGTGTTGCTCTTTCGGCAGACACTATATCACCATACATACAAAGGAGTTAGCTTAGCTACACTACCAAATATGGCAACCAGCATCCCACGCTGTCAGTGTCCACTATGTCTAAGCCAGCTTCCCTTGACGTCACACAGATCTCGCGAGCAGTTGCGATATTTTGCGAGACTTCGTGAGTTCAGTAATGGCCCCCATATCAGAAGCCAAAACAATGTTTTTCGTCTTTTCTCAGCGCAAATTTCTCGATCTATGGAAGGTTTTATATGGTTTAGAACACAAAGGAGAATATACGTAAGTACCGGTTCCTGACGTTCCGGTTTTAACCGGACTTGAACCGAAACTTTTTACAAGTCCAGTACCGGTTCGGCGTACCGGTACGCAGCACTACCTCCTACCATTATAATCCTCGACAGACATGTAATATATAAAAGTTTTGATGATGAAATAAAAAGAGAAATGTTGATACTTCGCCATGGATTGTGGGACATTACAATATTTATTTATATTAAGGCATTTTTCACAATTGTATTGACAAAAGTATCATTGTTTTGCAGCCCTAAATGATTTTATTCCTGCCTTGTGTAATCCATGTTCTTATCGTCCATATCATTTTGATTGGCTTTCACAGGACATCACTGCGGCTGTCAGTAAACCCTCCAAGAGGAGGGCTGTTGGAACCTCCTCTAGATCTGATGGAGAACAAGGAGAAGCAGAGGAAGAGGATTTAATGGGGAAAGATCAGGTGATTATGTGTTTGTAGTGTGTAATCTTTGGACTGAATAGAGCACCTATTCTCATGGGTTATTTAGTTTAGACTAAACGTTATAACTCCTTTTCCTTTGACAATAGTTTTGGAAACTAATGTCTGATTTGTATGACCTTACCATCAGTATTTGAAGAAGCTGCACATGCAGGAGAGGGCTATAGAAGAGGTGAAGCTTGCCATCAAGCCTTTCTACCAGAACAGAGACATCAACAAGGATGAATACAAAGAGATTCTACGCAAAGCCGTCCAGAAGGTGAGTACAACACTTAGCCAAGGTTTGTCACCACTGCCGGAAAAACAAGAACTTTGAGTCAGTATTTCCTGAGAATATATAATATTGCTTTTGTTTCTGGTCACCAGGTGTGCCACAGCAAGAGTGGGGAGATCAACCCAGTGAAGGTGGGCAATCTGGTCAAGGCATACGTGGACAAATTCAAACACGCTAGGAAACACAAGAAAGACGAGGACTTAGGGCAGGAGGCTGATGATATGAAAATCTCTGATAGCCCGTGAGGAGGCAAACAGTGAAGGCGTGAACTGCTAACACTAACCCATACACCATGTTTCACTCTGAGTCATATTACTGGCTGTGATCTCCAACTCTACAATCAAAATGGTAAACTAGCAGCTTCAAGATTTTATACAATGCCAAGGTTTCTGAGTTTTTTTTCAAACTTTTTTGTTGAACTGCACCTACTGAGGACTTGTGCTTGGACTGCCACTGGCAAGAAGTGGACTCTTTGTGTTGATCATCTCAGAACCGGGAGACCTGGAGGTTGTGCCTTAAAGAGGCAAATCTCAAACACACACACCCCCCCCCATGGAGCCAGAAATCAGGTAGCGTCGGATGCAGCTCGGGCTTTGAGTTTCACACGGCTGTTTTGTGGGTATTTATCAGTGGCACAACTTTCTGTTGGTTAAGAAGTGGTAGAATAATATGCATTATTTGCATATTTAAGACATTTATAACGTTAAGGAACAACACTGTTATGCAATTTTTGTAGAAAGTGTATCCGTAAAGATATGAAACCATTTTAGATTTGGTTGTAAATAATATAGATTTGATATATCCACTTATGTTACTTTCATCTGTGTTGCGAATGACTGATATAAATGGTTCTAGTTTATAGAGCTGACTGGTTTCTGTTTTGTATTATCCGTCTTCCACATCCCAAACAATGTTTAAAGAGCTAAATCCAGTCCAGCGTCCGGTTCACTCATTTTCTCAATAATAGAGATTCAATTTGTTTTTGCCAATTCTCTTTTTAAACAGTTTTGAATACTACTCCACACTACCATAAGTATACATTTTAGTTTGAAGTGGAAAGAGTTAAAATACAGCCTTCATGTTCAAAAAGCTCAATGGGTTTCAGTCCCCAGAAACGTTCATTTCTGTATTGCCTTGCTGTCTTACCTGGTGCACTCATGTCAACATACCCTTTAACAACAGTTTTTTGTTGTTGTATGTAATATATATTAATAAGATTTTTTTTTATTTGCATGTAAATCCATGGTTTTTGAGATCAATGTATAGTCCATAAATAATAGGAACAATAGAATATCTCATAAATCGCAGCAATTCCCAAGGTGTGTATATCAAAATGAACTGTATTCTGTTCAGGGTTCACTTTGAGGTGTCTGCTATACTAACAGTAATCACAGCTTCATTAGGACTGCTTTGTCAATGTGTCTTAAAAGTGAACCTCACTCTTTGCTTTCTTTTATCGAAATGTTCATGAGAAAGTCATTCTGTGTCAATAGCAGTTTATTTGCTGGAAAGGCGGATTATGAGGGTGGTTGGACTTGCCTTGTACTTTGTCCCATGAAATCAGCTTTATAAAGCCAAGAAATAGGAATGAAAACATCTACAAACACAGGTGCTCATGTTTATCTGATTGTATTTTACTTTTTTCCTCATTTACCTTAGACAGGCCAGATGTTTTTAAGAGGGAACATTTGATAATAAACCACTGATGATGAAAAGGGTTTGTCTCGATCTAATCTTTTTAACATTTCTTTTTCCTGATGTCATTTTTCGGTTCAAGCAGGATTTGGCTTTAGGTGGCAACATCTGAAGATATTCTATGACAAGCATAGAGACGGCCCTTTTATATTCTCTCTGTAAGTATCTCAAGTGTATTGGTGTTACTTTAAGACTGAAAACACATGATTCTGTTTTGGGCAATATTTTTATAGATAACTTGACATCTTTCTCTTTAATTCATCAATCGTCGTCATTATCCACGACCACTTAGGGTCTTTCAATGTTAGGCTTGATTTGACTTATAAGAAAGCAGTACATTATAGCCTTAATTTTATTTAAATTGATCAATTATACATTCTGAGTATTACCTCCCAGCCTTTCCGAGTCCACACTGCAGCACAGTGGTAATAAACTGAGACGTCATTCGGAGTTAAACAGTTTATTTAATATCTTAATGACAGTTTTTCAAAGGGATTTTTCCAGTGTAAAAAGTGCGTGAAAAGGGTAAGTGCAAAAACATTCATCACAAACAAGGAAACATTGCAGTCAATGGCAGTATGACTCATACAGAAACATACATCCCCATCCAGTTTAAGCATTTTACAAGTTCATAAATATCGAAAAACTTCTTATGAAGGATTTCCCATCATTTAGGGCCTCATTCTGTTCCTACGTACATATATAATATTAATGGAACCGTACATTTCATTAGCAGGTGATTTGACATGTACAGTTATCATATAAAAGTATTCTAAGGCAAGACCTGTGGCCTTTGAGTGAGTAATGTAACAGTCCAATAGAGGAGGAGCTCATATCTACTGGTGTAGTGATAAAAAAAGGTTTCCCAACATTTGTGACTAATGAAAACAGGAGGCATTGCAAAGCAGCAACGTGTTTGATTATTGACGGTATGCAATCTTCAAACTAATTCCTGTTTTTTGTGCTTCAGTTTCTGACACATTGAACAATTTACCAGTTTGAGAATTTTTTTTTGCAGAGCAGAGGGTGGTCCCATGGATAGTTGAGATTTGAAATGTTTGAGTGATTTCATATTTGAGTTTGAAAAGGTGCAGCAGCCCTCGCTGGCTCTTCAGCTGTGGGTAGACTAAAGACGTTGTTAATAAGATCAAAGAGGCTGTTGTGTGAGATCTGGAGGCTGACATTGCTGCTGTGAAGAGACGAAGCCCCCTCCATCTGGGCCATCTCATGAAAGTGTCGACAGATCAGAGGGACCACCTGCGGGGGTGAAGTGACACATTGAGACATTTTACAACACATATAAAAACTGCATAACTAAAAGGAGCCGCTCTCCAATCCTGTATCTGTCTTTTTGGTGAAACTAGAAAAGAGCGTTACCTTGACAACTATAAGCTTCTTCTCTAAAGGTTTCCCATCAGGAAACTTCTCTCCAAAGCACATGTTGATGGCGTATTCAGGAGAGCCACCATTGTTCTCTTTAAACTGCTTCAGTTCTGAAACAGATACAGGTGGGAACATTTATTGCATGGTGCAAGTTAATGATGGCTTCACACAGAATGTAACCATTATTACACACAGTCATTTTGTTCCTACTGTATAAAAAGCGAGAGATGTATACATACCATGCACATACTTCTCAAAGCTCAGGAGCGTCACAATGGTGTTTGGGGGCAGCTTGCTGGGGTTAGGGTGAGCCACACTGGGATCACTGGTGCTGGCAAACACATGGCACTTGTCCTGCCTCCAGGCGTAGATACCGGTGTCCCGTACCTCCAGAAAGAGACCTCTCTGGATGCTGTTCAGGATGCGGTTAGTGTACTCAACCTGTTGTAAAGAAAAAGGTTGCCATTAGAAAAACTTTAACCTTAAGAAAAGTTTCCAGGATGTACAGTCATTTAACTTAAGGGAAAACTCAAGCCTTGGATTTCGGATCAAAGTTCTTGGCAGGGGATTTGTATCAAACTTGTTCCTTCAGTTCATGCTAAATTAACAGAGAGGAGGTTTCCCAATTTGTTGGTTTCGTGCTTGGACAAAAACGCTGGTGATGTGAAACGCATTCCTAAAAGAAAACATATTCACTATATGCCACACTGACAGGAGCCTATTTTAAGTTTTTGGTTGGTTGCATATGCCAAGGACATTTAGCCTGAAGTTAAACTTGCAATATTTGGGAGTTCAGATCCATATCACATGTTTTTACAGCTATACAACAATCTCAGTTGTACAGATAAAAAAACATGATCCTTGAGGTTTTTTTCAGTACATTTGTAGGATTTGGTTTTGTTTTGTTTTTTTATTTCCACAAAAGGCCTATTTGATGTTATCATGTACCTGCTTTTGGTCGAGCAGACCATCAGTGGAGGGGAAGCAGAGACGATGTGCGTTGAACTCAGGGACCTCGTTGTGGTAATGGAGCTGGAGAAGTGCAGTGCTAAACGTAGTCTTTAGCATTTCTCTTTTCCTGTAGTGGATGGAGATCTCCAGGTCATATATAGTCGGCTGCAGAGGTGAACTGAGGACTTGTGGAGGATTTACTGTAAAAATACATTTTAAAATAAATCACATCTTTATAGAGACAATAAAGGAATGTGATTTTATCAGGCTGAACATTTCCTTACAGTAAGCAGGCGGCTCTGCTATATGCTGTGGATGGCTCTCGGCTGCTACAGGATAGCTTTCAGGGACAGCTGGATTCTGCTGAACATAGTCTTTTGCCCATAGTTGCACATCTATTAAAGACAATACAAATCAAATTAAACTATATTCAACCTTCATTACTAACCATGTAAAACCATAAACAGGTGGAGAGGACATTCTTCTATGACATTATGGTACTGCGTTTTTGCATAACACTCTACCTGATGGCTGGCTGCCAAGGTCCAAGGTCATGAAATTGTTCAGAAGAATTAGCTGTTTGGAGGGGAAAAATATTGAGGCAGTTAGTAAGTATCTAAGGGAAGAAAACACCAGAGAGAAAATCAGTTTGATATCAAACCAATTAACAGAAAACCCAAACAATATTGCACCTCATTTCCTGAAGGTTGGTCCTCTGTGGGAGAGTTGTAGATATCTGGACTCATGTCAGCATCCTCCTGGGAGTCTTGTACTGGCTGACTTTCAAGGTTGCCTGCTGATAAAGAAAACATGGGTAGATTTATTTGCATTCAACTCTTAACAGTGGAAGTATAACACCTGGATTAAGTGACTCCTCTTACAGTCAGTGTTGATGATCTCATAGATTTTATGAGGGTCTTCCTTATTCTTGGAATTATCCCTTATCAACTCGAAACCTTTAGAGAGGTTGTTGAGAGCGCATCGGAAGTTTGTTTTCCACCTGGCCTTGTTGTTTGGGAACTCGTGGATTTTTCCACTTGCTTCTGACCATGCCTGTTAACCATAAACACACAAGATAAAAGCCACTCCATATGCTCACATTACAAATGCTGTCACTTCTAAATGTAATTATGATCACTAGGAAAATTAAATGATCCTAAAAGCTGTAATTGCATATGAGAACCCACTTTAAGTTCTTTGTGTGGACAATTCGATTGTTGGATTTCCACTTAACACGAATTAACAACGTATTTTGAACAACCTATATTGTGGTATTGCTACTTATATTCAAGGGAAGTGGAAGTGAGATGTTGGCATGCTATAATTGCTACTCTAAACACCTGCCGTTATTAAATAGCACACAGTCATTATGACATTAAGGAATCTCTAATGATGTCAACAAAGCCATTAACATTTGATCTAATCACACTTTGCCGGATCATACCATACATGTAATTGCAGTTGCATGTGTAATAGGAGCTGTTCAACCTACCCGGAATATTTTACTGTCTTCATCATTGCAGTCCCTTCTGGAGTTGTGCTTCCAGGGGACTCTGAACTTGTTTATGCCCACATAGCACAGGCCCGGGTACTGGCCCGCCCCAACCTGCTCTATGAGCCAGCTGGAAAACTGAGGCTTGGTAGGGCTGAGAGGAAACATGACAAATCAGTGTTGATCTTTAGATGACACATTTCACTAGAGCAGAGAGAGGAAATGGACTCAAGAACCTAAACCACACATCCACTGTGGTAAAAACTACTGGCAGCTTAGGAAAAAAGGTGAACTATGTTTTACGCAAAGATATAAATGCAAAACACATTCAGCACCCTGTGATATTCTACATGGTCTGCCCAGATAGTTTTCAGCAACATGGAAAGTTATTCAGCCCAAAAAAGTATTTAGTCAAATCGTCACACAAATCAGGTTTGACAAGGAACTAACTACTTTACAATACATTCAAAAACAAAACAAAACAAAGGCATATAATAAATAAAGAAGGAACAGAGGGCATAGATGAGGCTATCCCTACCTTTGCATGTCTCAGTAGATGTGTTGCTCTCCAGGGTGTCTGTGGCTCTTCAGAAACACCTTTGCTGATTTTATAGAAGCAGAACCAGTGACACTGTGATGTTTTGATCTCTCCTCCCCCGTGGGAGGGCGCAGCTCCAGGCATTTCCGATGCACGAATGGGTGAGTTTGATTTAAGGAAAAGCAAGACGTTACCTCCTCACACAGAGCCTAAAACAGACTCCCGGTGAATAAATCAAAGGCACCCTCTGCAGACCGGATGAAGGGCTGGGTTGATTGGAAAAGGGATTTTTCTCGGAGGGAGGTAATCGAGGCAAAATGAAAGTGGGTTTTTTGACACGTAATTTTTTTCTTGCATCACCACGTCATCCACATTTCATCATCCACCCCAAGTTATTGTGTTCTCGTAGGCGCTTTCGCCCACTTAACCTGCAGGCAAGCTTAGTGTATTTAAATAAAACCAATAGCAGTATTACTGTCTGCAATGTAGAGGCGTAGAGTGTACTTTTGGCAACAGTGTTATACTTGCCAACATTCTCAAATTAGTTTATTATTTTAGGATCGCCCTTTGATCTGCTTTATTCCATGATGATACCAAGCCTACTTTATGTTGTTAAACATAAACAGACAAACAGACTGTCACTAACCACAGGGTTTCACCAAGGGAGGTGAACAAAAGGGTCGGGACCATCATCAAATTACTGCACGAGTGGTGTGTGATATACCTTTTCTGACTGCTGATTTGTCATGAATTGATTTAACAGTATTTCTTTAATAGAATAAATGTTCAGTTTTTGTTCTATAGCTTTCACGTGTGTTAACCAGCGACCCAAATCCAAAACAGATAACTGCACTGTACAAATAAAATACATATCTTCTTAGGTCACATCTCTTTTTAAAGGGTTTAATTTAGTTTTCTATTTTATATGAATAGCATTAAGATAATTCAGCAGTTTCGTTATTGAAAAGAGTCATTTATTTTAAATAGCTTCCTGTGAACCAGTGACTCCAAATCAGTGCAGCATTGCATTTCTACACTGGGCAAGCAGAACACGCATTTGTATCCACCTTCTATATTATGAATATTAAAATAAGAAATCAACAGTTTTGTGAGTAAACAATATTTTTTCAAAAGCTGCCATATACTACTATGTTATTATCAAATCAATGTAGAATTATAATATTACTTTATATTGGACAAGTAGGAAACCTCTCTGTTTAATAGTTTTTTTTGGTGCTTTTTCTATTTATTCATATTTGTTCTAATACTCTTTTATTGAAAAGTCTTCATTTGTTCAATAGCTTCCATGTTATGTGACCCATTGACTCTGAATCAATGTGGCATTGATTTAACACACAGGGCAAGTAGGATATATTTATTTTTAATGGATTTTAGAGCTTCTGTTATTTCAATAGCCCTCATATCTTATGACTTTATGACCAAATTGTTGCAAAAATGTATAACTACACTGCACAAGTGGGACATCCCTCTTTGTAGAGGATTTCCTTCCTATATCCTTCAGTTTCATCCCACAGGCCATAAGACTGCATGTTAAACACATTAACTTTTGAAAGAACATCCATAACATTCATCTGTTTGCAACTTATATATAAATATTCCAATTACTTGTATATAGACTATTCTGCACTATTTCTACTATATTCTATTGTATTTTATTTTCTTGCACTATTGTATCTGTTTTATTGTGTTGCACTGTTGGAAGAGCCTGTGACCTAAGATTGTCCTTGTCATAACTACACTGTAACTATATGTACAAATGACAATAAAAGCCTTGAATCTTGAATCCTTTATATCTATTTTATCTAAATATTGTTATGATAATTCAGTAGCTTATTTTTTGAAAAGTCTAATTTTCTTTCAATAGCTGTCTAGTTACCAGATGACTCAAAATCCATACATAAACGTCTTATTTGAAAACATAAGACACATCTCTCTTTACTGAATTCAAGTCCATCTTATATTTTATATATGAAAATGCAACAGTGTTAAATTGGAGAGTTTGAAATCAGACCAGTAAACTGAGTTTTTATATGTTGATAAGCTTTAAGGCCCACACAAGGTTACCTTTTCAGTAAAGAAGCAGAGGCAATGAGCTCCACCTGCTCTGACCTGTACTTTTGGTGAGGTTTTGTTGTCACATGAAACCAACCCATCAATATTCCAGTGAATTGTGACAAAAGACTCCACCACTGAATGCTCCATAGTATGTAACAGTTGTGCAGTGTGCTGAAGTGTAAGACGGGATTTTCAGAGTCAGACTCCTGCAGGTGTGAGGTTGTTTCCTGTCTGTCAATGAGACAGAATATTAATACCATACGGTGAGTGAGAGTGCAGTGGGGATTCCCTTATTTCATGACATGAACTTTAGTATAATATACAAAAAAAGCTTGCTCCGGACATTGCACTTCCTCTTTCTACCATTCGTTAACTTCCATGCAAAAGAAAGCACAATTGAGATTTTATTCTCCCACTCTCGGGTCTTATTATCTCAGGTCCTGTGATGCATTAGTTTGCATGCTAAAGGTCAGTTATAGCATACTTCTCTTTATTTACTTCTAGGGGAGAGTTTCTTTTATTGTCTGGCAGTGTTTTGACCGCAGACTGCGTTTAATGCTCATGCATTAGTCTAACACTGTTTAAGAAATATCGTGCATGACTACAGCCCAAGTATGCATGTGTCAGGAATAAGGAAATGATACACACTTTAATGGAGCACTTCCTTTTTCCTGCTCATTGGAAAAACTGCCCTTGTAGAAGGCCCCTGTAGAAAACATGGGGCGCTCATGAAGCATGCAGTGCGGTTATTGAACGACCACATGGAGGAACCATAACCTATTTCACACTTTTATTCAGAATGCAATATCATACGTATTAACTCATCTGTAAATGTAAATATGGAATATTGTGCTGAAGAACAGGAAGTAGATCATGTGACACGAGCAACTGTTTTGCTCGGAGAACATTTTCTACTTTCCAATGCGACCTTAACAAAATATATGAGTAAGAACATTTATATGACACGTCAGAGGAAAATTAATGTATGAAAAAAGAACAAATAGAGTTAAACTTTTATTGTTTTCAAAAGGACCTTTTTACTTGAAATTCCAGCTAGTCTCTTTCATCTTGCTCTCTCTGTATCTATCTCTCTTTCTCTGTGGCATTGACACACCATCACACACACTGACCTATCCACTCTTATCTCTCTCTTACCTGCATGTTTATAGAAATGATGGCTGTTGTATGACTGTTACATTCCCTCCTAACTAGGGGTACAAAGGGAAGTAACAAAACACCAAAATAACCGGGCGAGAGAAAAAGGAGAGGAAACTGTCTACTGAAGAAAGTGATGTTTTAATGGACAAAAGAAAAAGGGCTCACCAGCCAACTTGCAAAGCAAGCTAAAATAAACAATACACAAAAAGGTAAACTGGCACACATCTCCTAACAATTCACAAGAACACAGGCCTCACACAGAGACAGAGACATGCTGCACACAATGCAGCCAGAGGAGAAGGAGAGAGGCCACTGCAGCCTACCTCAGGTCCTTTATGGAGGCCCTGATTGGCGATTGGGAGCACCTGGGGGAGAGGCTGCACCTGGAGACAATCAGGGAGAGAGAGAGAGACACGCACACAACAGCACACACACACAAGCACCAACTGTGGCACGTAACAATGACGCTGGAGTTCCAGTGCATTTCATATAACCTGCTAATATTTTCATAAACAGCCACACCCTTACCTATTTATAACACTTTGTCTAGCTTAAGCTTGAAATGGTGTGTTTGTATTTCTGTATGAGGGCGAGACTTGAGGAAAAACAATAGTAGTTCATCTGAGATATGATACTTAGGACATAGGAATTTGATGGCTCTACAAATGTCATTGCAATATATACATATACATATACATA